TTTGTTACACATGTGCTAAAAGAGACTTTTGAGAAAAGTGTCACACCAGAGCTGCACAGTCCAAAAGAGGAACGAAGTTCAAAGTTAACATTGAAGAGACCAGTTCATGGCATGTGAACTATGAATAGTTAATTACAACGTGGAAAAGCACTTTTCCTCCAGTAATGATACTCTCACTGCAGTAACTTAAATTAATCTTTAATTCTGGAATATTTATCTTTCACACAAAGCCTGTGTGCCTCTAAATCATAAAACCAAGTTTCATCTTGGGTAAAAAGACGAATTCTCCATGCATTCTTTTCAGACATCAGGAAGCTGACATACCATAACAAACACAGTACAATAGGCACCTCCTTTACTGTTGCCCAAAAAAGCAGAACAGATGAGCAACACTTACTAGATGCTGCTGAACTGGAACCCCAGGTTATTTATATAGCTATTCAAAGCAGCACACATGAATAAAAGCTAACATTTTAAAAATAAGGTAGATTTAAAAAGAATAATTCAATGTTTCTCCTCCATTCCAGTATTGGGGAAAAAAATCTACATGCAATTTTTGATCTGGGCTATAGCAGGACTTGGGTGCATGCAACTATTACACTGAGATGAAACTGTTTTCTTATAGAAAGGTAAGGTCAGGAGTTGTAAGGCCACGCTGAATCAGCAAACTGCCCTGTAGCACTCTTTTAATTCTTTTTTAAGAACGCAGCAGGTATGGAAGTCGTTCTGACCTCAGACTTTTTTGCAAGCCAGTTCTGCCACCTCTTATGCAGCTACAATGTATATGCAAACCTAGCTTAACGTCCACAAAAGATACACACACACTTACCAATTCCTGCAAACATCTGTCTGCTCCTTCCATCACTGCCTGCAAGTTTGGAGGACTATTTGCCCTACTGGCTGAGGAAAAAGCAATGTGCTCCTAGCAGAGGCTTGCTAGGCGCACACAGGAACTATTTGCTAAGTCATGAGAAAGTGACAAGTGGCCCTTTCTGCTCGGATTTTACCTAGTGCTTGCACCCAGAAGGGAACTTCTGCCCAGTGGAGCCAAGGCTCCCTCCGTTCCTTACCGCCCCCAAGGGAATTCCTGGTGTTGGACCAGCCTTGGCACATGCAATTTTAAACACCCAAAGCACCCCTCATCTAGCACGCAGCAGAATATACAGATGCAAGATGAGGGAAGTAACCAAGTACTTTGGGTAAAATGTCACACCAACAACTTCAAAAGAGACCCCATGATCTGGTAATCAAAGCCATGAAACTCATGCTCTGTTCTTTTTCTTACACCACAATACAGAGCTGTAGATGTTACACATGCAGACCATGTTAGAAAAGGTTAAAAAAAAATTCAAGCTGCAAGTAACACTACAAACACCTCACCCAAAGTATCCATAGCATTCCAGCACCTGAAAAATCCTGTCTGAAAGACTCCATGTCAGAAGCTTGCTTCTTCCCCTTTGACAACCTTCCACTCCTAAACTCTCAGTAGCAAGAGTCCAATCATTAAATGTAAGCATTCCATCCTTCTGACATTTGTAGCTATTAGGGAGGCAGTGAAAGGCACTGAACCAGGCCCTACTGCACTGTTAAATCAATGGTGATGGTGGCCAGCCAACAGGGATTCCTTTTATCCTTTCCCTGTCACTCACATGAGAACACAAAAAAACTTAAATGTAACTTCTGAAAGTCACTTCCCAGTAGAGTGTTGGGATATCTTCCTAAACAAACTCTGCTGAGCTCTGACTTACAAAAAATTATGAGTTCAAGGGGATTGCATTCTTTCCCCCTAAACACTGTCAGACACAAAAATTGGATTGTTAGTCTAAAAAGATGTCTTACTAGCTCACAAACTGAGGTTAATCTCAGAGACTTACAAGACAATGTCACAGTAAAGTTATAAATTCCCTGAAATTACAAAGAAAAAACCTGCAAGGAAAGTATTATCTAGCAACTGCACCTTTATAAATATGTTGATATTAAAAGATGAAACAACACTCTGTATTGTTTTCAGAATGTCATTCCATAGCTGCATAGTTAAAAATATCTATTTTCATCAGAATTTCTGAGAAACTCTTCATACATGAAGCACAAAGACTTTCAAAAGGCAGCAATGTCTTCCTGCTGCTTTCTAGTAGCTTAATTGAAGAGTCTGGTTCTAAGTCCTGGTAAAACACAGCTTTCCCCTGCGAGACAGGGACAGAGATGGGTAAATACCTCAAGGCACCCCATCAGCTGAGAATTCTGAGACACAAGAGCCAGTGATCTCATTCCCTGTAACTTCTTTTCACAGTGAGAAAAGTAAAGACAAGGAGACTGAAATACTTGCTTTTTAACATTCTATCAACTCTGAAAGTTCTCATAGCCTTTGATGTGCGGGCAATATAACCTGATAAAACTTAGTGAAAGGCGAAATAAAGCATAGAATAATTCATGACTTAGCCAAGGTGAAAGGAAAAATAATAAAGCCAGGACAAATCAAGAATCATACACTCTAGTCCCCTTCTCCAGTCAAGAGAACTTTGCTGACTGATAGTATATGGTGAAGACATATCCAAATACTTGCTTAACTCTTAGCTACTTAGTATCTCTTGCACTAATCAGGAATATCAATTATTGACTGATGCACAGTCTTTTCTGCTAAGGTAAAATGACCATTCTGCTGAAAGCCAGTCTCAGCAGCTCAACAGAGGCACTTCTGACAAATTAAAGTAAACTGAAAGGTCAACTAAGGACAACTATTAAGCTATAAAAACACCTGTGCAGCCTGGCCATGTGCAAAAACAGTGTTCTCTGCTGTTGTGATCTCATATTCACAGAGAAAGAGACTCCTATACCCATAATTTAGTATTAACTGGTAACATAATTGTTCTGACATTCAAAAAATTCAGACCAGCATCCTGCAAGAAAACGTATAGCTGACTTCAATAAACCTAAGTAAAACCAAGACCATGCATGTGAAAAAAGCTGAATGTAAGTGCTTGCAGACTTCTGGTTTAGCACATATTTTTATCACAAAATATCTGTGAAAGATTAGTGATGCTCCATTTCCCACAACAAAGAATTTTTACACACTGGTTCAGTAATATCTGGTGCCTTTAAAGGGGCACAACTGTTCAGATTTTATGCCAATTTATCACTCGTGTAGTACACGTTGGACCATGGGGTTTTGATTCCAAAGCGAGAACAAAAGCCAGTGGCCAGTGAGCACAATCCTTCCTGCAAGAGTTTGCCATTTGCTGAAGACCCCAGCCGGCAGTGAACGTTAATTTCATGCACCTTCAGCAACTCAATACCTGCAGAAAAGAACTAAGATTTCAAGCAAGTTACTATATATAAATATTGACATCCATCGAACATGAAAAAAAATGCATTTTGGGGCCAGCTTAAAATTTCATAGCTATTACTGTCTTTATAGGGCATCACATTTTTTGCATTTTTGATTTAAATAACAAAAGACTAACATACTTTTTAACAGAGTGCATGGAAAAGACAGGCAATTACTTCATACAAGTGTCAATTAGTCATTGAATAGTTCTAGAGCTACCTATTTCAAAGGTACCTAATATTTACTTGCCAATCACTTATTAAATAACATAGAAGAATCACTTTTTAATTTTCTGAAAAGCTATACCTTTAGTTTTTGAGATTTTCTCCACTGTCAGCAGAACATTTGGCCCTCCTTTATCTAAGCTCTGCTGAACATCTGTTGCATTGTATGAGTATTGTCAGGCTCGAAGTCTGCTTAAGAGCAACAAGGAAAAATGTTTGTGGAAAAAGACAACTAAAGGCACCACAAGAGCTGCCACGCAGGCTTATCCTTCACCTCCTCCATCAAGACATCCTCTTTTCTCTGGGTCAAACACTAAAACACTTTTGTTCTCCAAATGTCTACAAGTCCCGTGGCTGTGTGTCATCAATAAAGTTTTCATCTACCGGGTGAGGTTAAGCAGAATAAAAATACAATCCTCTTCCAAAACCGAAGTCTCTGGAACTGGGAGCTGCTGGGATTTTACATCCGAGTGTGGCAGGCGAGTGCAGCGCTCGGATGACACACCCGGGCTGGGAACCCTGTCTGCCCCCGTCCCTTGGACACGTGTCCGTACCCACCCAGGGCGCACACTCACCTACCCCGGCAGCCCCGCTGCACCCGGAGCGCACGGGTTTGGAGCACCGAACACCGCCAGGCTGCCAGATCTGAGTCTCAGCTCAGCCCAGGCCATCAGATTTGATTCTGAGCTCAGCCCAGGCCACTCTTATAGGCTGAACTGCTTGCGAAGCGATGGGGCTCTTCCACCTCCTTCCCCGCCGACAAATCAGCGCTTCCAACACCCAGACACTGATGTCGCTTAAATGGTCGCGGGCAGGGCTGTGTCCAGCCGGAGCCACCGAGGGCCTGCACAAGGGCGGTTTTAAACCCCGCTCCGCGGATCGCCCTTTCCCGGCCGAGCACGGAGACAATGGAGGTAATTTGTTACCGCCGAGAGAGGCACGGGGGCCTCGGCCGCGTTCTGCCGCTGCCCCCCGCCCGAGCAGCCCCGCCCGGGCCGGCCCGGCCCCGCTGCCATGTGCGGGGACAATGCAACGCCGGGCCCGGCCTGCGGCCGGCGGGACGCGGCCGGCGGGAAGGGGCCGCGGCGGCGGGCGGACGGGCCGAGGAGCCGGGGGGACCGCTCCGCCCCCGCCCCGCTCCCCCTCCCACGGGCCGGCCTCGTCCCCGCTCCCCGGCGCCGCGGCCCCGGCCCAGGCCCGGCGGCGCCCTCACCTCGTTGAGCTGTCGCTCGGCGGCTTCGCGCAGCGCCGGGTCCATGGTGCCGCGCAGGGCCTCGATGATGCCGCTGGGGTCCATGGCGGAGGCAGCGCGGAGGGCAGGGGCCGGGGCCGCGCCGAGCGCACATGGACCCGCCGCCTCCAGCGGCCGCCGGCGCGAAAGGAAGGGAGAGCGCCAAGAGCCCGGATAGAGCTGCCCCCGCCGCCGACGGGAGCAGCGCCCCTTCCGCCGCATGGCCCGCCCCGCCCCGCCGCGGGGCGCCGCGGGAGATGCAGTCCGGCCGCACCGGCACCGGGAGACGCGGCCGGGCAGCGGCACCGGGGAGATGCGCTCGGGGCGCGGCCGGGCACCGGCACCGGGGAGACGCGCTCGGGGAGCGGCCGGGCAGCGGCACCGGGGAGATGCGCTCGGGGCACGGCCGGGCAGCGGCAGCGGGGAGATGCGCTCGGGGCGCGGCCGGGCACCGGCACCGGGGAGACGCGGGCCCGGCGATCTCGGCCCGCAGCAGCCGCCTCAGCAGGCGCGGCCCCGCTCGAACGGCCCCGTCACGGGAGCCGCGGTCCGGCAGCGCCCGCTCCGTTCCCCTCCGAACCGAACTCCTCGGCCACGCCACCGTTGTGAGGGATCCGCTGTTTTAGCGAGAATCCCTCCCTTGAAAATCCCTCCCGCATCCGCGCCCCACTTTCGGAGAGGCTCGTGTGGCTCGGCGAGGAAGGAGGGGTGCGTGGGGCCATGGGTTTGCTTTGTCACGGGCATGGGGTGCTGCCGTGCTGGGCTTAGGGCGGTGGGGGAAAAGAGGAGAACAAAGATCCTGAAGATGTGTCAAAGCTTTGTCAGAAAATCAATACAAGCGAAGCTGTCGCTCGTAAAGGGTTAGGAAATGTGTCTGCTGAGGGAGCTGGGGGTGTTCGGCCTGGAGAGAAGGAGGCTCGGGCGCGGCCTCATGGCTCTCCATGACTCCCTGAACGGCTGCAGCCCGCTTGCTGCTGTGTCGGCAGAGGATCCGAAGAAATGGCCTTAAGATGAGACGGGAAATTCAGATTAGATGCTAGAAAAAGTTTTCACTGACGGGGGTGGTCAGTCAATGGAATAGGTTCTTGCCCAGGTTCAAGAGGCATCTGAAACTGGTGCTGGGAGATGTGGGTTACTGGGTTAGGGGTTACAGGGGCAGTGCTGGGTTAGGTTTTGGACAGGATGATCCTGAAAGTCTCTTCCAACCATGACAGGTCCATTATTCAATGATTCTGGAGGCCTTGGCTCAGTCACAGAGTCATAACTGAGCTGCTTAACTCGGTCCTCTCTAAGTCACTTCATCCTACGAGCATTTGAGCACTGAAGTACTTTCACTTCCATGAGTAGTCACGATAAAATGAGCAATGCTATTTATAAGTTAGTGAGTTGTAAAAGTTAATTGGCACTATACAGTCATTCACTGTCATGCCTTCATTTGGGGGATGGCATGCAGTGATGTACTTGAAATTTTGGGAGATATTTTAATTGAATTGGATTTACTGGTTTTATCAGACCATCAAGAAAAAAGTTTCAGAAACACCTCATCCTGGAATGACTCTGAAATGAAAGCACATATCAAAGAGAAAAGCAGAAATGCAAATGCAGAAAATAACAAAATTTAAAAGTGATACAATTTAGAAAGTTGATAAAGTGCACTCTCTTTGCAGTTAAACAGTTTCAGGAAATCTAGGCTTATCAAGACTGTCTTTGCATGTATGGAACAGCATAACAGATTTGCTTTTGTATATAATTTTCCCAAATTAGTGATTTTTCTGTGACTGTCACTGGACTAAAACCTGGGTTTGTCAATTTCTCATGCTACTGGTTTGTTGTTGGGGTTTTTTTACATAATGCTAAAAATGATTTATACTATGTAGTCTTTTCTTATTGCAAGTGTGAAAATGAGCAACTAGTTTATGAAACTAAACTGTGAAGCAGCAATGAATGTCTGCCTTTCTAAGTAAGCACAGGAGACGTATGGGCCCAGATGACCAAGTGGCAATGTGGCATAATTTGGGACATGATGTCATATGCTGTTCTTTTATGAGTTGCCCAGATCTGCAGTCATACTCCAATTCTAGATGTTGCACAAAATGTTAAAAAAAAAAAAAGTGAACTACTGTAGATTCAATACCATTACAAAATGCTGCAACAAAGTCTTTTCCCTGCTTTCGTGTCACAACACAGATAACAAGATCAAATCTCAATGCTCTTTGTAACAAAGCAGCAAAGCAATCATGCCCCCAGCCAGGGTGCTAAGCTGATCCAACAACTTATGAAACAGAATATATCTTCTCTAAAAATAAAAATAAGTACTTCAAAGGGCAGAGGACTCGTGACGTGCTGGTTGTGCATAATGCTCTGTGTCAGAGGTACAGATGTGAAATGCTGCAAAGACAAGCACAATGGGATGGGAACCATCATCAGCAAAGGTGCTGTGCCTCTGGAAACTTGTGCCAGAGCTGCTCCTGTTTAGATATGAAAGGGAGGAGGACAAAAAAAAAAAGTTGTACAAAAGAATGTGTAAGCAATTGTCCACCCTGAGTACTCTGAAAAAGAAAACCTTGTGTGTCCAGGAATGTTTGCATTGTCCAGGACCGTTTGTACTGTTTGTACTCGCACTTTGCTTACCCAGAAGTAATAACAACAGCTAACTTCTCAGCAGGATTCATTGTATAAATGACTCACAGAAAACAATAAATGCAGGATTCAGTCAAGATGGACATTTCATGTCCACAGGAAGCCAAATTTAGAGGCAACATCTATGAGGTTAAAGTAGAATTTCTCTCAAATCTGAACTATTTGTTGGTGGATTACATTTGCTGTGGGTAGTTTACTGTTAGAGAGAGATAAAATAGTAAAGCTGGATGAAAACTGACACACCACCAATTTGAGTGGAGCAGCCTAAGAGAAGGCAAATTACTTCAAATTACAAAGGACTGGTGAGCTGTGGTATCCTTAGCATTGAAATTTTGATTAAATAAATATACCCACTTCCATCAGATACTTTCTTTAAACAGTATTAGCAGGACAAAAGAGAGTGGAATTGGTTATACTGTTTTGAAATGAAAGCTCAATGAAAACTTTAAGCCCACCCATCACAGCACAGCAATTAGTGAGGACTTTGGCCAAACCTGTTTAGCAAACAAAGGGGACATGAATCAATATGTTGCAAGACGCAACCAGATGAGTTGATAGAAAAATTTAATTTTGAAGTCAAATTTCAAATCACCAGAGTTAACATTGGAAAGAAGTATGTCCTTTAGCCAGATAAGCCTCATCAAATTCTTGTTCTCAGAAGAGAACAAAAAGAAGTGTACGTGCTGCAGGGATTAGCTGCCCAGAAGTGTTCTCTGTTGTGCAGGAATGTTTATAGACAACCTCAGGCTGCTGTGGGAGAGCAGAGCCTCTCAAATTATCTCAGAAAGGGCGATTTGGTATTGCACAGGCCTCAAATATTGGATGCAAATCAGTCTCAATTACTCCTGAAGATAAACATGCTCTCCTAGCCTGTCTGTCTTGGGGTTTGCAGTCATGTGTACTTTCCCTGGAAAGCTGGAGCAATAACAAAGGCAATGTGTCAGCTTTAATAAAGTAATGTGCTCCTTGGAGCTGACTGTGGAGCACTGCTTAGCCTGTGTGCCTTTAAGATCACCATGTTTGGGTGCATTTTCCAGATGTTGCTAAAGAATTCTGCATAAATTTTTATCCTATCTACATATTCAAAAAAAAAAAAAAAAAGAAAAAAAAGCAAACCAACAAACCCAAAGACAGTAACTGATAAATTCTGCTATCAGCTGTTCTGTGCTGGAACAGATTTGACAGCAGCCAAATTAACTCCAATTATGCAGAGCATATTCCTGCATCAACAGCATTCCAAATGTCAACCCAGGATTTGGAAAAAAAATACTTGCACATGAAGGTACTTAACCAGTCCTACAGATCCAAAGGGATTTTGGACAGAAATGAGTGGATGAATCACCAGCACCCAAAGGTATTGTGAAACCACTTTTGCTAAATCAAAGATGGCAATGGGAAGAAAAAAGTATGCACAGAAATATTTTGCTGATAGGCAAAGTTTGGAAAGAATTATTAATCTTTTTTAAAAATCTGAAATGGGGTTAAAATATGAAACTACGAAATGAAACATGCTAGTCAATGTGTTTTGGTGTCAAATCATCAAACAAAAGTGATTGTTTGAGGAGTTCTCTGGTTTGGCTGGGGAAAGGGTACAAAATTAGTAACTTTCTTTGCTTCAAAGTATCATAGTAGGCTATGACCCTGAGCACACACTGAAGGGATTGAGGACTGGCTAAATTACAATTCTCAGTTAAAAGGTGATAAGTGAAGAGTGATTATTTAAAGGGCCAATTTTCTACTGGCTTTCTATTGATACCACTAGCAGACTCTATTTGGTACTTTAGGCAGTTTTGAAATAAATACAAAAATCACTGCAGATCATTGTGAGAATGGCATAAGATTAGCAAAACAATCCTATGTGAATGGGACGAGTGTAACTTGAAAAAGAAACAGAAATGCACTTTAACACAGCCAAATGTGAAGTTACATATAGAAGAACAGAAGATGAAAGATTGGAAGGATCATCAGGGATACCATGGGCGTGCAGGTTGGCATGAGCTCCCATCAGGATATTGTGGCAAAACCGTAATTTTTGAGTTGAAAACAGATATATGAAGAGGGGGAGTGGGAAGTGGTTTGTCTCTCTGGTGGGGAGAAAGGGATGTTCCATTGCCAGAGAAAAACACCACCATTTATTGTCTTCAAGTATTTACAAATTGTAATGCATGAAATATCCCCAAAAGTTTGAGATGAAGAGTTTATTCTCCTCATCTGTATGAGACCTACTTGAAATGTCCAGTTAGGTTTAAGACAAAAGATGTGAGGAGTCTTGGTTGCTGTTTGTCCCTACAATTGTGCTGTGGTCAACCAGAGATTTGGCAGGCAGTAAGGGTGGTTCCTTGCAGAGTCCCTGATCCGGGGCTGGCTCTAGCCATGGGAGCAGGATGCCATTGCATGCCCAGCTCATGGTTTCACAGCTCCCTTTAATCTCCTTTAGTCAGCTAGGAGTTGGCTTTACCCCTAAGAAGAACTTTGCTGTAATTTCTTCAGCATTTTTTCATATACTCCTTTGTGCAGCCGTGAGCTCAATATTTGCTTCACCCCACCAGAAACCCCAGGAGCCATCCCCACCCCCTCCAGCCAGATGGAGCAGGATGCTCCAAGGCTGGAGCAGATGCTAAACCCAATATCCAAACAGGTTTCCCAGGGGACAGATGCTGAAAACAAGATTGGGCCATTAGCTGGTGGAAGTGTCTGCAAGTGGAACAGTAGGAGTAGCAACACAGAAGCAGCAAAGAAACAGTTGCTATAATAGAGCCAGAGTTATTATGGTCCTGAGTAAATGTCAAGGAGATAGAGCTTTCTTAGAGCTTTAGATCAATAGCTTATTTAAAAAAATTAAAAACACCCCAGCAAACTAACAAAATCAGGAAATAAAAAAATCTCTGATGTGTGATTCTTCTGAGATCAGAAAAACTGGACATCTTATTAATGAACATCTCTTCAAAGATGCAGGAGTCCCTCATCAATTCTTAATTTTATCAGTTAACTCTGGACAGCAAGGTGAGGAAAAAGAGAAAGATCAGGAAGACAATAGTGGGTACTGAACATCTCTTTAGTGAATGAAGCTGTAAGAGGAACAAATGTCTAGCAGGTGAAACTAGAGAGTCACTGAAGAAAATTCCCCGTGGCACTAATTGGTACTTTCTTTTCTCCAAGTGATCCTGGGTGCAGTTCTGCAAGATATGTTTGACTGAAAACACAAGCTGTGCTTCAGTCAAACCAACAAGATTAGGGCTTTAATAAAAAACATGCATAAAACTTGAGCAGGATGTTGGACTAGACAATGTGATGACGAACTGCGCAGTATTTTGGATTTTGCTGTTTGCTGTCAGCTTAGCTCTATCTGCTCCTGCAGGCTTGGAAGTGCAGCTAAGCCAGCCCAGAGCCTGCTCCAGGCCCTGTGTGACAGACAGAGGAGCAGGAGTGTCTGTGACCTGCGGCACTTTCACCTCCTCCTCCTCCCTCTTGCTCTGTTTTCCACCCTGTGTATTTGTATTTCACATCCCTGGGGGATAATGGCACTGACAGAGCTGCAGGATGGTGGATTGGTGACACCCTGGGGAGTTAAGCAGCAGACAGCAACTGGTATTTGTGGCATTAAGATGACACTCACAGTTCAGGCTTTTTTTCACACTTTTGATACAGTTGCACAGGCACGGAAGTTCCAAAAGCATCAGTGGAATTGGTTATACTGTTTTGAGATGAAAACTCAATGAAAACTCTGTGCTGAGGATCACAGAATTACAGTGTGACCTCAGAATAATGCCTGTGATCATGGTGTTCTCCAAGAATAAATCTTTAAATGCATTATGGGAGTTGGTTTATTTTGTTTTTGTGAGGAAACAAGAAAGTCCTTTTCTTACTGTTCCTTAAATAGGAAGGCAAGCTTATTTATTTTTTTATGATTGCTGAAATGGACAGCTGTGAATCCAATGTAATGTTGACTTTACATTTTGAGGAAGCAAATTGAAAGAAAAGTATAAGGGGTGTATATCTATGAATTTGTGTTCAAGCAGATGTTGATTTTTAAAACACAAGCTTTCTAATGCAGTTTTTGCAGCCAAGATGCAACAATAAACTGGAATTGTTCAGAAAAAAGTGTGCAAATATTCAAGCTATGGAACAGGCAAAAATTTCCAGAACTTCCAAAGAGTTAAAAAGAATATTTAAGCTATAACTTTAATTGTATAATTAAATATGTGTGTGAAGCTTATGCAAGCTATAGGTATGTTTATCAAGCTATAATATTTCATTCTATTTAATAAGACATAGAGTTCTGTTTAGAATAAGTTTAGTTTTTATAATCCTATCCTGTTTCCATTTCGATTAATTCAATAACGAGTACAGTAGAACAGGACCAGGATTTTATTATATTAAAAATGTATTCAGAATGAATTCTCAGCACCTAGGGAGAGCTTTTCATATGCAAGGAACTACAGACACACATTAAGAATTTCAATAATGCAGCAGCACAGCATTCAGTGTGTGAACTCATGGCAGTCACCCAGCTCCAGGCTGTCCCCTCCAGGACACACCTGTGTTTGGGAAGTGCGCCAGGCTCCTCAGGAGCCTGTGAGACATTTCAGATCAGTAAAAATGATTGACCTCCGGTGATGACCACAGCCTTAACTGTAGATTTGGGGTTTATTATGAATTTATTATAAAAAACTCCACATTTTGGTTGTGCTGGCATGGTACATTATTCCTTTTTCTTACTTTTCCATCTTTTCAAACTTGAGGAGACAAAGCAAAGTACTCAAAGAGTAAAGTTTCTGGATTTCTGCAGGGGGAGCAGGGAGATAGAAAAGGAGTTTTTTATGCAGGAAAAGTGCAAAACCACTTTGGTGGCTTTGCAGAATATACAGCTGAGGTAATCACAGCTGTGTTAGCAGAAGAGGTGAAGAATTGGAGCTACAGGGCCAAGTGTGTTTCTTGTGTCTGGCTGCAGAGAGGAGACTGACTGAGGCAGGGTGAATTCTCTGTGTGCTCCAGAGGAAGCTCAGGAAGGGCAGGCATAAAAGAAAGACCCAGAGGCACACAAGGAAGTGCTCACAGCTCACTGGGAGAAAAACTGAGATGAGGTACAGAGTTTGTGAGCAGCAAATAAGCCAGCAAGTTTATGTAAAATTACTAAAATAAACATGCTTTCCTGTTTGATTCCTGATTCATTAAGTGAATCATAGCTTTTGATACATACTTAACAAAATAAATAACATTTCATAAAATTACCTTACTTTTCATGAAATTACTTTGCTATTAGAAATATTCCTATAAATCATAAGCCTTAGCTGCTTATGTTAAAGGAGTCAAAAATAACAGATTTGACAAACATGGAGATATCCTAGATAAAACAAAGATAAATAACAGAATTTTAGTGTATTAAAAATACATTTTTGTAAAACAAAATTATCTTAATTTTCTATTACTTGTATTTAGGAGGTTATAAAGTTAGCACTTTTATTGGGACACTCATAGTTTTTATTCCTTGCAAAGCTATAGAATTCATTATTGCTGTCCAAAAGGGTTTAATATGTTTTCTATTCAGTTATATTGTTTTAAATGCCAGTATTTTCTAATGTAACTAAAGCAGTCATAATGCTGGAATGTGCAAACATAGGACTTATGCTGACCTTTGTGTAAATTGCTAAAGAAATACAGATAGGAAAACAAGGGATGAAGGTGCTAATACCCCAGCTGTGCACAGTCTGTGTCTCCTGGTGACTGTGGGTGCACCACTAATTGTTTATGTAGAGCAACAGGTGGAACAGCAGGAGCAGCTGCTCACAAATCCCCATTCCTGTGGCTTCCAGGCTCTTGGGAGCCAACAGCTGCATTCAAATTCCAGTACCTGCAGCAGCAAGGCAAGGCAAGAAACATATTGCCAGTGCCCATGTCTTTGTCTGAACAAGCCTCTGTGTCTTTTCCAGGTTTTTGTGAAGTGACAAGGTGGAAAGTGCTCACCCCTCGTTTCACCTTTGGAAAGCACATGAATGATGCATGCAGGACAACATCATGTTCCCAGGACAGCAGGGAGCTGTGTCAGCTTCCTCTGGGTGCTCCTCGTAATCTTTGGCCTCTGCTTGCCAGCATCCCTCTGTTCCACTGCTGGCCTTTCCTGAGCTGAAAGGATTCCTCACTTCAGAATGTTAAATTAATTTTCATTCATGTTTCTGTTGGGTTGACAAGGTAAAATAATCAATTGCTATGACTAAATCAAGGTTAGAGTTTATTAAAGCAATTGGGTGGTATTGTATTGCCCATACAACAAGGAATTCCACACAAAAATCAAACATGCTGGTTCAGCTTCAGTAAGGATTTCTACAGCATAATGGCACACCAGCTGCTTGTGGTTATTATAACCCCACTTATCAGTCTTCCTGTGGGCTCCTTTTATTTTCTCCATGTTAGTCTTGCTTATGATTATGTCATATTAGTTAATAATGTCTCACTCAAGCACCTGACACTTCTTTTCTGCAGTCACTGGTTTTAGCCAATTTTGTTGCAGGGATCAGGCCAAACAGCTGATCCTGTGGTTTACCACAGGCAAAAGGGAACTACTATTTCATGCAGAAGAAAACATGCAAATTTCTTTGTTGATATTTGTAGATCTGGATTTCTGTGTTCAGCCAAGGTATCTGACAGGAAACTTGTCTAGGACTGGGTGTATAATGTTCAAAATTGAAATGAAGAGGTTTCCTTCACAGAACTCCCTTAGGTGAAAAGAGTAGATTCTTATCACTGTCCCCATTTAATCTCTAATCCTGATTAACAACTGGTTTTGTGATGCTCATTTAGTATGATAGCAAGTGCTATCAGTCATATTATGGCTTTTTCAATTAATTTAATAATTTCCCATAGGAATACACATACAGCGAATAATTTCTCAGAATGTTGGCAGCTTTTCTAAAATGTTTCAAATAAATCACATTTTCGCCCTTCTGATATTGGCCTGAATTTTAATTATTTTCCATTGCAGACTGCTGGCTTAATGATGACCTGAACATATTTCTTAAAAACTAACTGTGGGTGTGGCTGCATACAGCAAGGGTTTGTTCCTTGTGAACTGGTTATTGCCCACTCTTTATGGCTGTTTTCTGCAAGCACTTAGACCTTAGAGGTCAGATCAGGACAACACTGAGCACTCTCACTGCTGCAGACACTTTGTACCTCACAGAAAAAGCAATCTAGATGAAAATACAGCGGGACATTTGCACATATTATGATTAGACCATGCATTCTTAAATTGTCAATTGTGAAACGCATTGTAACAGGAAAAAAAACTTCTTCCCTTCTAGTTTCATATGCAATTCATGTAACTTATCTGAAGGTTGCAAGAAGTCCTTATAATATGGGAAATACTTAGGAGTTCTAAACTTTTTCTCTGGAAGTTTTGAATTTTTTTAAAGTAATGCTGAATTTTCCTACTTTGCTTTTTTCTTTATTCTGCTTTATTCTACAACTTGTTTCACGCTCCCATACTACCTGACACACTTCCCCATCTTTCTTTCCCAATCAGACTTGTTCCCATTTTCTCCCCAAATCAAATCTATCATGTCACTTTTTTCCCAAATATTTGCTGGTCTACCCTTCCAAAGATCCTGAATTTTTTCCTCTCTTACTCCTTTAAGACAGAAGAATTTTTCTATCAAAATCAAGGGTTCTCTTCAGCAACTAAAGCAACTGTGTTTGTGAGCACAAGCAGTGAACAGCTTGGACTGGCCAACTGTTATAATTTCGGGTTCATTGATGATAAGAAGAGATTCAGAAGCAACACAAAAAGCAGCAGAACTTCAAACTGTCCATGTGGGAAGAAGGTGGATTAAACCAGTGCCCCAATGTTTCCTTATCTAGATTATTTCTTAACATTAGGGGACAGAGTTAGGACCTCAAATCAAGGCAACTTAAAATAAAAGGAAGATTTATTTATCACAGTGCAACCTGCTTACAGTCAACAAACAAAACACAGAAAGGAAATCTCAATAGACAGTTGCAATTATATTTTTAAGAACCTAGCAGCAAGAGGAGATCATTCAGGTCCTGATGAGTTCTAGCAGGAGGTTTCACTTAGGCCTTTTTGAGGACAGTAGAAAAAGCAGCTTAAAAACCCACTTGATTGCACTCTGCAGCATTAATTTCTGTCATGACTCCAGCAGATCAGACATGGTCAAAGCTACACACCCCAGCATGTATTCAACACTGGGACTTGGCCTGAAGCTGATTCTCCAGACCAAAAATCTTCGGTTTAACTGAGCTGAAACTGCAATTCCCTATTTGTAGAAGTAGAATCTGTAACGGCATCTAAAGAAAAATTAAAACGGGTCTTTGATCAGATTAAAGGTAGTGTTTTTATCAGCATGGAATAACTTGTATTTGGAAACTTGTGCCCTCCAGACAGATATGTCCAGCTACATCACTGCTGTAGATTAGAATCTTAAAGAGTTGACATTGTCTCAGTTCTTCAACATATTTGCTGCCTGAGCCCATTTGCTGCCAGAACTCAGATGCTGTGGGTTGGACTAAAGGCTGGGATGAGGTGATTGACAGGGAGGAGGAGTTGTTCATCCCTCTCCTGTTACAAACACTAAATCGGTTATTGCTACCAGGAGGACACCTGAGATTCCTTGGACTGTGATGAGAACTCCCTCTTTTGTTGGTATTTTTAATAAGAGATTGACTTTTTATAGAAAGTGTTTTCCAAGGCTGGGAAAAGAAATAGCATTAGAAGTAAGGTTTCTGAAGGTTGGAACCATGCTTAAGGAACCTGACAGAGCTTTCATGTTCCTCAGTTGGGGTGGCATAAGCTTATTACAGGGTATGTTTCACTCTTAATTTCCAGGAAGATAAAATAACCTTTAATTCCTGGTTTTTGCATTCAAATAGAGGATATGAGCAGACTGACCAGAAAAGTTTATTTCCCTATTTCATGCATTCCACTGACACATTCAGGAGGAAAAAAAAAAAAAAAAAAAAAAAACCAAAAAAAAAAAAAGCCAAAAAAAAAAAAACCCAAAAAAAACCCAAACAAAAAACCAGCTGGCTGTTTAAGAGGATTTATTAACTATTAATTAGGAGCAAGAGGTGCATCAGAACTGAGAATCTGGCTCTTATTTTTACCACTTGGAATAGAAATCATAGCTATCTGTTTCACTGTGTTCCTAAGTAATTAAGCAGTAGTGAAAATAGGTGCACTATTAAAAATCTGCACTTTGTGCATTTGTAGATTAATCTGTGTACAGTGTATGTCTGTACATATGTGCAGTATGTAGCCAAAATGTACATAAAATGGACAATAGGACTTAAGAAACATACTTTCTATTAAAAAAAATACCAGAAGAGAAACAAATCTGAATATTTATGATCCCTGAGCTCAGATTCAACTCATTTTAATGCATACAAGTTTTGCTCTCTCTTGCTGCTTAGTTATGTTTTCAGCTTCTGTCCTTGAGCACTGACTTTTATAAATAAAAGCTTTCATTAACTCTCCTTTGGTCTCCAAGAAATTTTTAATCCTTCATTCACACAAACAGCTACAAATAAGTGCTCATTGTTATTTATCTCGCTTGTTGGTGACATTTTTTATTCATTTCGATCAGTGCATTTGCATTCTACCCAAAGTTGGCTCCTGTGCAGCTGATTATTCTCCAGTTACATCCTCAGACTCCTCACTATAACTGATCCAAGTATGAGCCCAGTAAAACACACAAGCCCCCTTCCAAGCACACAGGTTTATTTGGCTTAAATTAGAATTTAGATAGAATGACAATAAATGTTTGAGGTTTAATTTCTTGCTGTATTTATACAAAATAAAAATGTTAAAACAATGCAGTTTGCTTTATGTCAAAAATAAGAGAGTAATAGGGGGAAAAAGGGTTCTGAATCTACATTTCTGAAGAAATTATGTGTACGATTTACTTGTTGATTAATGTTTCTGGTTTTTATCATTTTCAGCTAGAAGCTCTCAGAAGCAGGCTCACTTAATCTCTCATCCTCCTTCCTCTTGCTGCCAATTGGCATGAGAGTCCACAGAGCATCAGCAGAGTCAGTGCCTCAGCCGTGTGACATGGGCTCTATCAGACCACCTAGCAGTGATTTTGAAAAGAGGCAAACACAAACTGGTGTGCTGAGGGAAGACAACTCTTTCAATCTGACAAAAGTAAAGCATTTCATCCAGCCACCCACAGAAGGAAGTTATGACTTCATGGAGCTGACCACTTAGCTGCTGCCCTGATAGATGTCAATCTATTTTGCTAATTTCCAGCAGGTCAGAAAAACATTTTTCTATTTGGTTCACAGATAGGTTGAAAGAACTCATACGCTGAGTTTAAGGTGTATTTTCCAAAAACATTTCATATAAAGCTTTTTGCCCATTCAGTCTCTAGCCTTTAAGTAAAGAGAGAGTGCTGCTCCCACTGGTAAAGTCACTGAGCAAATTCCAGCTGGAGACTGGAGTCCTTCTCTCATTTCTCTGCTGGACAAAGCATTCTGCAATGTGTTTTTCCCTGCCAGGTGGGCATGCTCCAAAGACAGAGCAGGTTTTGTGCTGTTTCTTAAGTCATACATTATATATAGGGGATGCTTTATACACGATGATAATAAATCTGTTTTCAGTCCCTAGCTGTGGTTCCCAGTGTGCTGTGGAGTGAAGCTGTTCCTAGCAGTGCTGATCTCAACCATGTGTCAAAAATTTCCTTGATACTCACTGAGTTCCTGCTACCAAAATTCTTTCTCCTCTGAACACTTACAGGATGTGGCCTATGGCAGGATTTTTCATTCTTTGCCTTCTTTCCAGTAAATAAATCTAAGTTAATCTTCTAAGTAGAGTTCCTGAATTATTCTACTTATAGAGTAAACCTTAAAGAACATTCCCCAGACGTGTTGTTTTTTTTCTCCTGAGTGAGTGCAGAGGTTCTGCTGACATTTGTTAGATGTGGACATCTTTGCAGGGGACTATTCATATTATCAGCAGATACTAAACACCACTGACAATTTCAAAGTTTAGTGGAATAGACAACACATTCACACCAGCAGTACCCCCCAGCAAGGGGAACCAAGAGCAGTGAAGAACAATTTAAAAGTCTGCTGCTGATCCAGTCTAACAAATACAATTTGTGCAGTACATATCAACTGCAAAGTGATATAGCTAATAATGAATCCTTAAATTTCACTCTGGCAGTAATTCAGAGAGCTAAAAGTCAGGTGATTAGAGTTATCTTCTCTATTTTTAATGAGACATATACTAACACTGTGAACTTACTGCAGAATCAGCATCCTGGGAATCATCTGCAGGCCATGTGCTTTCTACTAAATGGAAGGGGAAACACAGAGCAAATCTATATTGTTGAAATTGCTTGTTGGGTGTATCACAGTGGTGTCTTGGACAGGGGAATTCATAGAATTCAGCAAGAATCAGAAGTTGCTTGGCCTGTGTGTCAGTTCACCTGCATTTGGGTTACACAGATGGGTACACAATACAGAGCAGGTTAATTAGAAATCAGACATCCGCTGGAGCAGGCTCTGCCCAGCTCTTTGACTCTGAGTAGCTACTGAACAACAACCACACCAAAGTGGGATTGATACCCCACTGAATGAGCAATCCCCCTCACCAAAATGAGAGATGGTCCTTGCAGCATTTAGCATCTACACTTTTAAATTGTGCTACTTATTTTATTTATATCTTTCAGTCTGCATCTTTCCTCTTCTGTTTCAGGATGACTCCTCTGCATAATAATCTGCTTTCTGATTTTGCTTCCAACATTCTTCAGTTTAGTATCTATTTGATGCTTTGTCAGAAGTTAGAGTGGAAAGAAGTACCAGTGTTTGAATCATTTTATCTGGAGTTTCAGAAGTAATAACCAAAAAGAGATGACAAACATGATGTACATTTACAATAGGGGAAAATGTGCCATTTTCTACAGTGTCAGCAATCCCCATCTTGCTAGTATGTACAATTTTCTAGTGAAAGGGTTTGAAAAAACAAAGGACTCCCGGACTCCCTCATCTGGCATCAATGCCCAGAGCAGCAAGTTCATAGACCTAACTGGCTTCTCAGGGCACTAAATTACTGAATTATCAATTGCAAATATTAAAAGAGCTAATTACATTATTTAATGAAATTATTTTAAATAATTTGATTCTAAAAGAAATACATTTTGAATAAATTACAGGTTCACATAGAATCTGCTCATGATTTGAAACTTTATGTGGAATCTGACCACAATTTACAGCTTGGATTATTTCCTGCCACTGGATTTGGCAGGGACTGTACTTGTGTAATAGTGTATTAGACTATTTAGATCTTAAATGAATCAACTTCCTGTGACACCAGCGAGTTTTGTACACATGGCAATAAAGCCACGCTTTTATGAGCTCTGCTGTGTGCTGACCTGCATCTCCCTCATGGCTTTGGAAAGATCTGTGATCTCGGGAAACTCAACTTGTAAATACCACTGCTATGAAACAACTGATCTGCCGGGGCCTGTATCAGCAATTTAAGAGCTGTTTAGATACGGTGTAAAGGTGGAGTAATCAGACAAACAAGGCTGAAATTAAATCGGACCTGAGAAAAATCCCGGGGCTGATAGAGGAATTGTTCTTCTTCCCGGCAAATAGGTTGTTATTTTCGAACGAGAGGAACAAACGGAACAAGGTTCCCCTTTTCCTGGAAGGACGGCACTGTTCCAGTGGCGCGGAGGGGCTCCCGCCTCCGCTCCCCGAGGGGAGATCCCGCTCCCTTCGCTGATGGAAAGCATTACCGAGGGAAAACGAGCTCGCACACGGGCTTTATCCCGCTGCCCTGGGGTACGATCGGCGCTGGAGTGTGTCCAGGGAAGGGAAAGGAAGCTGGGGAAGGGTCTGGAGCGCGAGTGCTGAGGGGAGCGGCTGAGGGAGCTGGGAGCCGGGAGAGAAGGAGGCTCAGGCGGGACCGTGTGGCTCCACAATTCCCGGAGAGCATTCCCGGGGAGGGTCGGGTTCTTCTCCCGGGCAACCAGAGCCAGGACAAGAGAACACAGCCTGTAGAACTTCTCCTCGTGTGCCAGGGGAGGTTCAGGTTGGACATCAGGAGGAATTTCTTCGCAGAAAAGATAATTATACACTGGAATACTGCCCACGGACCTGGTGCAGTCACCGTCCCAGCAGGTGTTCACGGAACCACTGGACGTGGCAGTGCCATGCTCTGGTTGACACGGCGGTGTTCGGTCATGGGTTGGACTCGGATGATACCAGAGGCCTTTCCCAACCTATTTGAGCCTGTGATTTATGCGATTTATGTCATTCCTTCGTAGCCGGGGCCGAGGAGCCGGGTTGGGACACCGCCGCCCCGCACCGTATTTACCACAAGTGAGCGCATCCCTGTTACCGTAAATACACGTATGGGTACGCCCAAAAGCCAGCGTTACCGTATTTACTGCCACTAACCCGCCATCACATTTCAAGGACAACACGTGCTCCCGTACACCACAGCGAAGCCGTAATGTCCCGAGAAAAGCGCATGCGCCGTGCAGCGGCGGGGGCGGGAGCGCGGCCGCGACCCGGTGGGGTGAGGAGAGGAGGAGCGGCCGGTCCCGCCTCCTCCTTCTCCTCCTCCTGCCCGCGGCTCCCGGTGCTGCCGGTCCCGCCTCCTGCTGCCCGCGGCTCCGGTGCTGCCGAGGCCTGCCCCGGCCCTGACTCGCCGGTCCCCGGGGCGCCGCAGAGCCATGGCGCAGCGAAGGGCGGCGGAGCGCGGGCCTTGCCAGGCGGCGGCGGCGGCGGAGAGCGCCAGGCACCAGCGGCAGCTTCTGGAAGGTGCCGGGGGCTCGGGGCGGCGGGAGCGGGGTGACCTCGCCCTGGTATCGGACGGTGCCCGATGCGGGTGTCGGTGCCCGGTGCGGCTCTCGGTGCCTCTCGGGCACCGGCCCCGTCCCGCGCGGCACCGGGGCGGCCGGGCCGGGCCCCTCCCGGTGCGTGTGGGGTGAGGCGGCTCCCGCCCCTCGGCGCCCGAAATGGGGCACTGACCCCTTTCCCTTTTCCCTTTCCCCGGGAGGGAAGACGCGTGCTCCGTCTCTCTGTGTGTGTTGGTGTCATTCCACTACCGGCACGCCTGAAGTACATGAAGTGGAAGTGGCAGAAAGCGCAGTCGGCTGAGTTTTCCTTTTTTGCCCTACAAGTTGGTTATTTGTTTATTTATCTGTAATTTATTTTGCTCCTTGGAGGAGGTGTTGTCAGAACAGCCGCGGTGGCAGTCCGTGGAACAGGCTGCCCGGAGAGGGTTGGAGTCTCCCTCCGTGAGCGGCGATACTCGGGAGCCGTGCGGATCCTGTTCCTGGGGTGAGCCTGCCCGAGCTGGGAGCTTGGGCCGGGTGACCCTTCCAGCCTGACCCTCCTGGGATTCTGTGCTTGTAATTGCTTTGTGGATGTTGCCCTTGGCCTCGGCTGACCCAGCGTACAGCTGTGGGGTCGCGCTGACCTTAAACCTAAAAAGCCTTACAGAAGATAAAATTGCCAGCTCGCCCAGCGGGCTCCGTGGGTTTCGTCATCCAGTCGCTGCATTTCGCAACAGCGAGGTGTCGGCGTGACCCACTTGAGTGTTGTGTGTTGGCATTGTAGTTGTGCCAGCGGCGTCTGCGAGGGAAAACACAGCCTCGGCTCTTTGTGTGTGCTCCAGGTGACCCTGGGTGGGAAGCTGGGTGAGCCTCAAAGTGCCTGAGGAGAGAGTTGGTTTGGTACATGCACACATACACATGCCTGTGTGGATGCATAGAGTACTTAGCATGGTGTTCATTTCAGTTCTAAATTCTTTATATGTGTAGTTGCATTTGTGTTTATGAATGTATTGCACTTATGTGGTCATTTTGATAAAAATATAAAATACAGAAGAAGCCTAAAACATCATTATGTCACTTACTGTACTCCAATTGCTTCCACTACACAAGGACTTAAAGGCTAATAAACACTTATGTATACATATCCACATGGATGTAAAATATGTGTAATTCCCAAGACCAGCACTTTATATCATGTGTGTTTATGTAGATTTCCTCCTAATGAGTGTCTCACCTAACTGGCTGTATCTGATAGTCTTTCATTAGAGGGGAAAAAAAACCCCAAAATCTGTTAATGAGCAGGTTTTTAAGTTACATTGTACATCCTGGAAATTTAACTTCAAGTTGAATCTCTAGTTAATTAGACTGGCAGAAGATTTCTGGCAAAAAGGAAAACATATGTATGGCTTACGTTGTTCAGCTCTGTTTTTTCTTTTTACAAATGTATTTATTAATTGAGGCTTAAATTATTATGGATCACAGAGGGTGACTTCTGTGGGATGTTTGCCAGCATGAAAACTTCAAAGTTGTTTGAAAGCTTTCAGGGAATGTGACCAATGTGTGTTATTGAAGGCAATGGTTGGAAGATGTCCACAGAGAGTTTACTTTAATATTCCCTTAAAGGATAAGTTTGAAATCTGCCGTAAATCATGAGGGATTGGGTTTTTTTGTTTTGTTTTGCTAGGGCTGGGGTTTTTTCTAACTTTGTTTCATGTTTAATTTCAGGGAAAGCTCTTGCAGAAGGTGGATCAGCTCGGACATCACTTCTTATTTTAGTGTCCATCTTCTTATCAGCTGCTTTCCTTATGTTCCTGGTATATAAAAATTTCCCACAACTTAGTGAGTAAGTATGTTATAAAAGTTTAATTTATCAATTTATTTGCTTTTCAGTATCGGACTGTAGATGAGCCTGCATGGGGATATGACACAAACTCAGAGAATTGTTCTTGATCTGAGGTTTCTGTTGCAGAGTGGAGATCCCGTGTTGTGAGGTGTTACCCCCTGGCACATTGTCAGTGGTAACTGACTCCTCTTAGCCACCTTCAGCTGAGAGCCATAGTGTGTTTTGTTCAGGCTGAGTTCACTTGAAACTTCCTTGTGCCTTGGTGAATCTGGAGGCTGTCCCCAAAAGAGGAAATCCTTCTTCCTTCCTAGCTGAACTTTGCCTTCACTTTTTCTCCTTCTTGTTGCACTGTGTACTTGTGTTGGGATGGCAGGCAGGCTGACAGGAGGAAGCCTGCTTGTCTGGCAGCCCTGTTTTTCACTTTTAGTAGTTAAATTTCTGTCTGATTAACTTGCTCAACAAGGTCAGTTTGCAGTGGCCCATCCCTAAGCCTGATACAGAGGGAACAAATACTCTTAAGTGTGCTGCCCAGGGTTGCACCAGATTAAGGTGTGACATGAGATTTTTGCCCTTAGAACTTTATTTGTTTGTGAGGTGAAATTCTGCCACTCCTGCTGCACTTCAACTGTTCTGACCCCAGCACTGAGGCAGCTGCAGTTGGTTTTGGCTGAAATGTTGGCTGCTTTCACTTGCCAAGGTTTGGTTGGTGCAATTTTTTTTTTCATTGGTACTTGGTAAGAAAAAAAAAAACCTAGAAAAGAAGCACATCATTGTACTGAATAAAAAACCCAGCTTGCAAATATCTAAAATCGGGGATTTTCTAATATAAACCACACTGTAAATATTAGATGTTCATCTGAGAACATTATTACAACAATAATCATGGTTTGTTTGCTGAAGCTGTAATTTAGTGTTGTAGTGTATCTAATTATCTCTGTATTCAGTAAGTAATTGTACTACACTGTTTGATTATATTTCCATCATTCCTGCTTTTTTTTTTTTCCTCTTCAGAGAAGAAAGAGAATGTATAAAGGTTCCTAGAGATATGGATGATGCAAAGGCCTTGGGGAAAGTCTTGTCCAAATACAAGGACACATTTTACGTTCAAGTGTTAGTGGCTTATTTTGCCACATACGTTTTGTATCCTTTTTCTGATATAAAGGGCAGTTTTAATGTAGTCATGCTTCTCTGAAAATGAAAATTACAATTTGATAAATTCTTGGTCATGGGTGCAGTTTAACATCCCTAGGAGTGTCTACAAAGAGACAAATATTTGAAACTCTTAGGAATTTCAAAACTTTTAGCTGTATTTTAGGCTTGGTCTTACTTTAGTAACTTTTAAAATAAAGTGAATTTTGAGGTAGAAATTACTGTTTGGTTTGCTCTAAAAGAAAACTGACTACTGCTTTGTTCTTCCTTAAGGCATTCAAAGTTCCACGTAAAGGTAATTTATAGAATATTTAGCAGTATTTCTGAAGGAAAGTATTTTGAGCCATCTTTCGTCTCTGTACTGCCCAAATTCACGAAAGCAAATCTATGTTTTCTTTTAGAGAGACAAATTTCTGAAGTGCTTTCTGTCCAGAGAGACACAAAGGCTACCTATGTTCTGTGGTGACTTCTTTTTTCTGAGTGCTGAATATATTAATTAATCATTAAACACACTCTTAACTGGAACACTTATCTAAAGGTTAATAACTTTAAAGCTGTAGAAGAGGTTTGTGTCACAGTTTTAATGCTGGAGGCTTTTGTAACTCAGGAGAGTCAGCACTGACCATGCCATTAGTAATATCCTTCAGCTCATTCTTTCAAAGTATTCCACAAGAAATATTTAATATTTCCCAAATTATTGATCTAGGAAGAAAATTAAAACATTAGTTTATATATTAACAAGGAGTAGAATAAATTGGCTCTTTTGAGTTGCTCTAGCAGTTCTAGATGTGATGACCTTTACTGTCTCAGCAGCAGACTGTGGTCAGTTTCCAGGCATGGTACAGTTACCACTGAACCTTGGTATGGCTTAGCAAAAGCTGTCCTGCACTCAGGAAAACTATTGGACTTTTTAATATTTCTGTCAGTTCAACTTGAGTAAAATAGGGTACAGGGTTTTTTTGCTTTATAACTTTTCTATCCAAAGTGAGCAATGCATTATAGTCTCTAGTATGCCTAGCAAGCCGTAAGTCCAACAACCTGCTCGCTTATGCTGCAGAAACCTAATTTTTGCCTTTCAAAAATTTCTGACTGAAAGTAGTCATCAGCTCCTGTAGTAAGTGCTTACACTGAGCCTGTTTGTAAGGAAGTAATAGCTGCCTTCATACATTCAGTCTTCCATGAAACTTGTGCTTATGGGCTTGGACAGGCCTGTGAACTCTCCAGAGAGAATGTCTGAAACTGCACATCTCTAGTCGACAGGGTAAAATCAGGTGTTTCCTGGAAGTCACAGTAAATCCTCTGGCAGCTGTAGCACAGATAAAGAGAAAAATGTGGTCAGCTTGTATTACTTTGTGACTTACTGTTTGTATGTTTTGTGATGGATCTGCATCTTGTTGCTCTGGGCTTCAGCTTCGTGTGCTACTCCACAAAAGGTTTTTTGAAGTAAGGCTCTTGAGAGGCCCTGCCTATTTATGCTTTTTCTAATTGTAAAATGTATCCTGACTGCTTATAAAATTAAGAACCATGTAGCTTTTTAGAAATGTGTTTTTCCTTAAC